AGAGGAGGAGAGAGGGACAGAGAGCTAGAAACATCGATGAGAGAGAAACATCGACCAGCTGCCTCTTGCACACCCCCTACTGGGGATGTGCCCGCAACCAATGTACATGCCCTTGACCGGAATCGAAACCTGGGACCTTTCAGTCCGCAGACCAATGCTCTATCCACTGAGCCAAACCAGTTTCGGCGGATTCATGGATCTTTATGTGAATTCAGATTTCAGCGTTGTTTCCTGCTCCCGCAGCTTCTCAGGAGCCTGCATAGACGCAGACTCTCTGATGGTCCCCGCCAGCATGCTAACCCATGCTTTTCAAAAATAAAAGCAGCCTAGGCAATGGCATTGCTAGCAGTAAAAACACACATATTTTATTAAGTGAAAGCTCAGAGGTCTGTTATACTGTTAGTCAATAAATAAAACCACTTAAAAGCAGTGCTTATTTAATCGTCATGTCCTTCTGTATACACTCCTAGTTGGTATATATGCTTTATGTTTATATTTGCGCATGGTTATGTAATTTATGAACAGTTATAACTAGCTGGAGACCTGTGCTCTTAATCACGAAACAAGTCCCAGGGCCCTCTCCCTTAGGTTCCTTTTCTGACACTTGGAGCTCCTCGGTGGGAGGGAGGGAGGGAGAGAGGGTGGGAGAGGATGAAGGGGAGGGGACTTGCTTCCTGGTCCAGGGAAGCAAGGCCTGCAGCGCCGCTCTTGGCCTCTAGGGGGCAGCAGAAGGAAGCAAACAACAGCTTGAAAAACCAGGTCAAGAAGGGCTGACGGAGGAGACACCTAGTGTCTGCTTTCTCCCCAGCCTTTCCCATCTTCCCTCCTCAGGCCTGGAGTCCAACCAGCCTCGGACCCTGGGGAAGGAGGTAAATCGCACTGAGTGCTGGAACAAGGAGGCGGGCCAGTGACCTCCAGGCTCCTCCTGGGCTGTGGGGCTTTCCATGGGATCCATCCGAACTGGGCCCTGGGCCTTGGCCTCTGACGCCTTCCCTGTAACTTCTTGAGCCTCAGTTTCCCCAGCTGAGCTGGTAAGAATTCGATAAGCATTCCATTACACCCCTTTTGGCCAGAGGGCCTGCCACGCAGTCGCTCAGTGCCAAACAGACGTTCCCATCCTCGGTGCCTGCCAGCGAGACCTCCCCACCTGCCACCCACAGGCAGGGAGCCTAACCCGCCGGTGACTCCGTAACTAGTTCCTGGGAACACTCCGGGGTGCTTGCATGCCGGGGCCTCGTCTCTATGAGCACACCGGGTATGTGGAGTCCTCCTCCTCACTCCGCAGGCCTTGGCGGACCTCGGCATCCCCATTTTACAGATGAGAAAACTGAGGTTCTGGGAGAGAGGTTTGGCCCAGATGTGGCAGAGCCAGGATTGAAAGTCGGCCCTTCCACCTTCCCTCTGGGACATGGAACTCTTCCCAGCTCGAGCACCTAGCTGCCTTCCCAGCATCCTCAGGGAGGCCTTGGCTGCTCCTGCCTGCATCCTCACGGCCTGTGTCCCCACTGCACTGACCCAGCTGCAGGCAGGGCTTGGCCTGGCTTGTTCACCCAGTGCCTGTCGGAGCTGGGCCGCTGAATTCTCGAACAGCTGGAGGAGCCGAGGCAGTGTGAAGGCACATGTGGAGGTAAAGAAGCTGCTCCCTTCTCTGGAGGAGCCGCCCGGGGCTCCTTTGGGGGCAGGCGGTCCGGGACCCCTCCCCGCCCCGCCCCGGGGAGACTGGCCAAGCAGCAGGGCCTCCCAGCACCGGCGACTGGAGCTGGCTTCCACCCAAACCCGGATGGCGGCCGAGCCAGGGGAGTGGAGTGGGAATTGGGAGCGAGTGTTTAGAACTTCGCTGGTAATTGGAAATGCGCTAATCCCTCGCTGTGATTAGGGAGGGCGGGGGACCGGGTGCTGTCCCAGGCTCCGTGTGGAAGGTTCCGGAATCGGCACGTGAGTCCGCGGGCCTGGGGGCCGGCACATGTCCTTGCAGCAGCCGATTCCAAGCGGGAAGGGCAATGCATTTGGGTGCTGTCCCTCCAAAGCTTATTCGTAGTTCCCGAGGGGTTTGAATTTCATTGTTTCAGGTACGTTTTGTGGACTATAAAAAGTTCACGGTTCCCAGCAGCACGGCTGGATTAGTTTCCTGGGCGGAAGGTGACTGGGCAGGCCGGGAGTCCCCCTCAGGCCCTGCCCACCCCACCCACCTCGCAGGGGTGACCATCACCCCGACTTGACTTCCAGCACCACAGGACCCCAGGGGCTCCGATTCCAACGCTCCCGGGCCTGGCAGGACGGGCAGCGAGAGGAGGGCCCAGTGGGCCTGCGGCCCTTCTTGCCCCGGGTACAGGGGCATCTGCCAGCGATGGCCAGGCAGACGCACAGGCCCAGTGTTGGCAGGCAATTTGATTTTTTTATGTGAAAGCTCATGATTATTGAACATTGGCAACTCATGAAAATTTAAAAACACGGTGGAGGCCAACGCCATCCAGGCCAAAGAGAAATTGCTTCTGGGCCAAACATGGCCGCAGGCTGCCAGCGGGGTGACTGGAGGGGCCCCCAGGCCGTGAGGAAGACAGGTGTGAACACAGACATCATGGCTGGGGGGAGGGAGGCAGGGACGGGGCGTGCAGGGGAGTGTGTTTAACAGCTCTGAGGGCACCGCTGGGCAGAGCAGAGCACTCAGGCGGAGGGGGGGAGGCGGGCGGAGCCTTGCGGTTCCCGCTGAGCTGGGTGGCAGGGTGCAGAGAGGCCAGGGCGGCGGTGGTGGCGGCGGCGGTGGTGGTTGTGGGAGGGTGGGCAAGGGGCTGCCTGTGTGGCAGAGCCCGTTTTGTAGGACCTGGAGCCACTGTTAGCCTGGGTCCGGGCAGGCGAGGGGAGTGCCTAAGGAGGGGAGCGGGGGCTTGTTGGACTGGCCTCGGGCCCGGTGCAGGGGGGAGAGCCGGGCAGAGGCGGCGGGGAGCCGCAGGAGACAGGAGGCCCTGGCTTATAACTCCGATTAAAGAGCCGGAAACCTGCGTGTGGGCCTACAGGCCTGGTCTCCTAAACAAACCCCGCCCACCAGCCCCACCCAAGTCCCCCTGAGCCCTCTACCAACCGGAGGCAGCCCCTGTGGACGGATCGTGAGTGGAAAAGTGCCGTGTAGAAATTCTAACCAACCCCTGTTCTGTCTTCTTCCGGGTATCTTTTGGGAGCGGGTGGCCCTGGGACATATTTCACTGGGGCGTTGGACTCGCAGGCGGGCTCCCAGCTTGTGGGTGCTGCCCATGGGCACCCCAACCCACTGTACACATTTGGGGGGGCTGGTTTCCCAGTGCAGAGACGTCTGTGGAAAACATTGCACGCCCTGGAAAAGTGTTACCGAACTCCTTGTAGCTGCTTGGCCATAATATTTCCTCTCTGTCAACCAGGACTCTTACCATCCTTATTACTAACCTCCTCAAAAGAGTCGGGAGCCCCTTGCCTGAGGCCAGGAAAGGGACCTAACACACAAGTCCAGAGACCGGGCCACCCTCCCCACGGGTCCTGCAGGCCCACAAACAGGCTCACCTTCCCCGGCGGAGGGGCAGCAGCTGGCAGCGGGGGGCGGGCTTACCCACCAGAGAGAGGCAATCCACAGTCCCTTGACCTTGAGCTCCACAGGCCTGCCCCTGCGCACGCTGAGGCTTCTCGGAGCCGTTCTCGGCTTGGGCGGAATTCAAACGGGCTCTTGCCACCAACATCCGACCGATGGCTGCACATCCGGGCACCCTGGCCCCGGGGCGCCGAGCCGTGTGGCGGCAGCTGGGGACCTGGTCGGTGTGGGCAGAGGTGTGGGTGGGGCTCTCACGCTGGGCAATCCTGCTTGACACTAGAGACCTGAAAAGGCTTGTGCGAGTTTGGTTCGTATGTGAATAAACAGCAGGTATTAAGCACCTGACAGGCATGATGTCATTTCAACAGCAGGACCCTCCTGGGTATGGAGATCGCACACCTGTGTAATATTAATACCTCCAAGAAGGGAAGTGACTTGTTCAAAACCCACCGCAGGTCAAGCCCCAAAGCCAGGATTCTTGACCATGTTGTCCCCGCCCCAGCGACGGGCTGGAGGCCCTGGCCGGACAGCTGCCTGGAAACCACCACTTTCTGTCCAGGAGGGGCCTCCGTGGGTCAGGATCCCAGGTGGGGACGTCCTGAATGGGGAAGTTCCAGGCACCATACCCTGCCCTTGGTGTCCCGTGCGGGCACCTCTTTGCCACCCTTCCCGCTGTGCCACACAGGCCAGGCGTCCCAGCTGGCAGCTTCTCCCTGCCAGCGGAGCCCTTCCTCCTGGTCCACGGGGCTCAGCTCCTGGCAGCCCCCAGGGGAAGCCGGCCCTGGGACCCTGCATTCCTGCTGGGACCCCTCCTGACCGGCCCTGCAGGTCTGGCACCAGCACAGGGCGCCCTGCCAGAGGGCCCCGCAGCTCCCGGCTCTGGGCAGCCTGGCAAACTGCAGCCCAGGCCCTTTGGTCTCCTCCGTGGAGGGGGTCCTGGCGCTGCCCTGTCTCCCCTCCGCAGGCCTTTCTGGGTGGCGGAGGGTGAACCCTCCCGGCCGGGGCTGTGGCCCCACGGCCCCCGGGGAAGCCTGGTTCTCCCGCAGCCCCTCGCCGGCGGCGTTCTCCGCGCTCCCAGACCCTCCGCTCCGCTCGCCGTCCCCGCCCCGCCCGGCGTGGGGCGCCCCCTCCCGCCCCCCGAGAGGCGGGCGCTGAAGTGCCGCCGGCCGCCGGCAGGTGTCTCCCCGCGGAGGCGCGTCCCTGCGCCGCGGCCGCTGCCGGGCGGCGACTCCGCGCCGAGGAGCACTCAGCTCCGCTCCGGCTCCGCGTCCGCAGCTCCGCCGCCGCCGCCCCCCGCGCCCCCGCCGGGGAGGGGGCATGGGCCCCCGCCGCGCCCGCCGCCGCCCATCGCAGGCGCCCCGGGCCCCGGGCGCGGCGGGCAGCGGCCGCTGAGGGGGCGCCGGCTGCCAACTTCGCGCGGACCCGGCGGCCGGCGGCGGGCGGCATGAAGACGAGCCGCCGCGGCCGGGCGCTTGTGGCCGTGGCCCTGAACCTGCTGGCGCTGCTGGCCGCCACCACCGCCTTCCTCACCACGCACTGGTGCCAGGGCGCGCGGCGGGTGCCCAGGCCGGGCTGCGGCCAGGACGGGCGCGCCGGCTGCCCCGACGCGGGCGCCAACGCCACGGCCAACGCCACCGCCGCCCCCGCCGCCCCGGCCAGCGGCGCCCCCGGCGGCGAGCGCTACAGCTGGGAGGCGGGCGACGAGCGCTTCCTGCTCCGGCGCTTCCACACCGGCATCTGGTACTCGTGCGAGGAGCGGCCCGGCGGGCGCGGTGAGTCCCCTCCGGGTCCCGGGCCGCTTCCTCCTCCCGGCGCCCCGCGCCCCGCGCCCCGCGCCCCGCGCCCCGGCCCGCGCCCAGCTCCCCGCGCCCCGCTCCCTGTGCCCGGCTCCCGGCTCCCCGCGCCCCCGCCCCGACTCCCCGCGCCCCGCTCCGGCGGAGGGACCCGCCGCGCACAGTTCGGCCCACGCCCCCTGCGGGGCACGCGCGCGGGGCCGAGGGGGGAGCAGGCTGGGGTCCGGGACGCCCCCCTCCCCGTGTCTGGGTCCGGGCCGGGCGCCGGGGCTCGGGGCGCCGGGCGGCTTCGGGGAGCTGCCGCGCCCCAGGGAGGAGCCGCTCCGCGGACCCCCCGGCGGCGCGGCGCAGGGACGCGGCTCCTTTCGGTGCCACAACTCTGTCCGCTCGCCCCCCTTCCACCTCGGGGCGCTGATGCCTCCCCCGCCTCCGCCCATCCCGCCGCCCGGGAGGTGCGGGGACCGTGGCTCGGAGCCGCCTCTCCCTCCGCGCCCCCGGGGCGTCCTCCCGCCCGGTCCCCGCCGCACTAACAGCTCCGGGGTGCGGGGAGGCCGGGGGTGGGGGGCCCAGCGGGGAGCCTTCGCTCGCGGGAGGAAGAGGAGGCAGAGGAAGCGGGCGGCGGGCGGGGCTCGGTCAGGAGTGGGGTGTGTGTGACTTTTTAGGCGGCAGATCGAGCCGCTCCCGCGGCCTCAGCCCCTTCTGTGCGCGGAGACAGGGGCAGCCGGGCAGGCCGAGGGGAGGGGCTCCCGGGAGCGCGGGGGGCGGGTGCCAGACGCGGGTCCCACCGCCTGCACCGCCCAGTCCCCGGCCGGCCAGGGAACTCAGCGAACTGACCTCTCCCCCAAGGTTAGGGCGCCTCCCTGTAGGCACCGCTCCTCTGCTGGACACGGTGTCACCGGTGCTCAGTGAGGGCCGGGCCGTGGCCAGCAGCCGGTCCTGCAGAAGCTGGTCCATTGGCCTGCTCGGTTCCAGATCAGCAGTGAAGGGAGGGAGGCTGTGCCCTCTGCCTGGACCCCCTTTCTGCCCCCTGCTGCCCCCTCAGGCCCAGGATCCTCTGGAGAGAAGACTCCGGGTCTCCCGTCTTTGTGTCTCATCACCTGCGTTGTCCCCGGCCTCATCCCACTCGGCACACCTTGAACTTGCTGGGGGCCTCCTTTGCTCCCTGTCTCTGCCCCTGTCCCTAAGGATGTCTCCCCCGTTAGTGTGTGTGCACAGTAGTTCTTAACGCCGCGTGCAGGATGCTGCTGGGTGGGGCCGGGGATGGCGAACCACAGCTCTCAAGGGGCTGCGTGCTCTCTCACCTTTGGGGGGGCCCCACTCTCGATGCTGGCTGTATCCGAGAAGAGCCCAGCCCCAGCAGACTCACTTGTGCTGTGCACGCCCTTCTGGGATGGAATAATAACAATCATAAAGGAACCTCGGGAGGCATCCCTGCTCCCCAGCCGGCCCAGCCCCGACGTCTCCGGCGGAGGCCTGGTGAGTGCGTCATCACGGGCACTCTCCCCACACGCCTTTCTCCCAGCTCAGGGCCGGGTTTCCAAGGTGTGGGAGGCCTGCCCCTGGACGCATCACTCCACCTCCCACAGGCTTCTCGCCCCGCCCCTCCTCCCCCCTCCCCCAGCCTCCACGGATGTCCTGGTCCTCGCTGCCAGCCGAGCCTCTTCACTGCCGAGGTCTCTCCCGGCCTCTCCCTGACGGTCACAATCCAAGCTCTTCCCTGTTGCTCATCCATGTGGCTTACCCAGGGGCTGGGCACAGGATCCCTAAGCCCGAGCGTTTACAGATAGCAAAGGAGCCGCCTTTAGAAGCAGTGCTAGCTTCCATTGCTTGAGCCCCGAGCGTGCCCAGGCCCGGCGAGAGCTGCTCACCTGCTCTATCTGCCAGTACCCGTGAGGCGGGCACATCTGTGGTGCCCGTTTTCCAGAGGAGGACTGTGGGGCTCAGAGAGGGGTTTTTGCTGTCCAGGCCTCACAGCTGGCCGGGGCCTGAGGTCTCTTCGCGGGGAAGGACGGAACCTGGGGGAGGCGGTGAGGGAAGATGATAGACCAGTTGGGGGTCGGAGAAGGGGGTGACGCGGTGGGTTCGTTCCTGGGTCCTCGGTGAAAACGCGGATGGTTAGCTTTTTGGGCAAATGAACAAAACCCACCGTTTTTCCTTTTCCCTGGATCACTGCTGGCTAGCGATCACCCCTCCCAGAAAATCACAATTTTCCTTCCCAAGAGCCTGAAAACAGTTATCAGCCTGTCAGTGCTGGTGAGAAACGTGGCGGGGCCGAGCCAGCTGGGACGGTTCCCGGCCGGTCCACGGCGCCCAGATCCTGCCCTCCATGCTGTGGTCCTGAAGCGGATTCAGGAAGTACCTGGCCCCAAACTTTGGTTGCCATGACAACCCTTTTTCTGGGTCCTGTGGCCGTTTTTTAAATTTATTATTTACTTGAAGAGGAAAAAATGCCCCAACAACCCCCCGCCCCCTCAATCCTGACCTTCCTTCCCCCACCTCTTTGAACATTGGGGACCAACTTCCCTCCGGCCCTTGAAGCAGCGAGGAATGTTACCTTCACCAGAACGCTGACACCTGCCACGGAATCCCAGCCGGTCTGAGAAGCAGCTGCTCAGTGCTCCTTCCTCTCCGATGCCTGCTCCGTCATTCTTCCTGTGCTCTCCGTTCTGGGCAGCCGCCAGGGAATCCGATCAGCCTTTCCCCACACTGAACCCCCACGCCGGTCCTAAACCACACCCTGGCCAGACTGCCAGACCCCAAAGCCACCCCTCTTCCTCCAGGTGGGAGCACCAAGCTCCCTCACAAACTGGGAAAGGTAGTGTGGCCTCCACACCACTCCCCACTCTTCACGCAGATTGGGGTTCTCCTGGTTGGATGCTGGAAGGGCTGGGGGGGGGGGGTGTAGACGCAGGCAGTCTGGGGTGCGGACGCAGGCAGTCTGGGGTGCAGACGCAGGCAGTCCGGGGGAGGGACGTGGGGTGAGGGCGAAGGGTGCTAACTGGGGGCACAGGTGAGGCTGCACCTGATCCTGAGGAAGAGGTGGCAGGAATGGAGGGTGAGGGGTCCAGGCGGATTTGCAGGTTGGCTGGAGGGGGTGGGCTTGGGGGGCAGGAGGAGGGCCGTCGCCGGGAGCAGGAGCAGCTGCTGGTGCTCTGACTTGACCCAGACCTCGCTCCCCTGCAGCAGTGCCCGGTCTGTCTGGCGAGGCTCTGCCTCCTCCTCGGCACTGTAATTAGGCAAGAGCATCCACTGGCTCCCGTGGAAGGGGGTCGGAGCAGACGCCCCTGTGCGGGGTGCGGGGTGTGAGGGTGTGAGGGTCTGTGGGAGGGTGCAGGGCGGGCCTGGCCGGTGTGTGTGTGCCGGCTCCCTCTGTGCTGCCCGCCTGAGCCTCTCACGGCTCCCTGACCTCTGTGCTGCTGCCGCCACCTCCCACCTCGGCCATTGCCCCTTGGGCGCCCCTCCAACCGCCTCCTCTCTCTGGGAGTCAGGGCGGCTCCCTGCAGCCTCTCCCAGCTCCTTCTCCACCCGCCCGCCCCCACCTGTGGCCCCCAGCTCCTGCCCATGGGCCCCAGGAGGCATTCTGGCCGCAGGGCTTTCGCGCCGGCCCTTCCCTCTGCCGGGAATGCTCTTCCCTCAGAGGGCACAAGGCAGTTTCTAGAAGCTTCTTTAAGTCGGTGCTGAGCTCTCTCCAAGCACCGGCATCAGCGTTGATCTCCCCACACGTTTCCTGCTGGATTTCTCTTCCGGCGCCCGCCACTGTTGCCGTGGATTTGACCTGTACGTGCCCTGTCTGTTGGTTCTGTGTGGTCCGCCAGCGTCTATCTCGTTGTTCCCGCTGGCTCCCCAGTGCTCCCACTGGCACACAGTAGGTGCTCAGCCAACGTTCGTGGGAGGGATGGTGCGTGTGGCGATGACCGTTTGTATCCCGCTCCTTCCCTGGCTCTCGGCGTCTTCTTACCGCACAGCGAGCCCCCCCATCCACTGAGGCACCGAGGAGGGGTCGGGAGGAGACAGCCCCGGTTCTCCCCAGCTCCGCGCCTTTTTGCTCCCCTCTTCCTCTTCAGGAAACCCCAGCTTTCCCGCCCCCTCCCTCACAGCGCCCGTTTCCACGAGGGTCAAACACAAGGTGTCCCGGGGTTGGGCTTGGCTGGGCTTTGTGTTAGGAGCGCCTGATGGGTGGAGATTCCGACTGGGAAGGGTGTGGCTCTAAGCCCCCGACGGGTGTTACCTGTGAGGCGGGTGCCATGGCCATGCCCATTTTCCAGACGAGGAAACCGAGGCACAGGGAGGTGAAGGGACTTGTTCAAGGTCACACAGCCACCCCGCGGCAGAGGCGGGATGCCCACCGGGCAGAAGGCTCTGGAGCTCCAAGCCCGCTGTGCCCAGCTGCACCCCACCTTCCAAACAGCCCCTTCCCCTCCTGCTCCTCCGCCGGCCTCGTGGGACCAGCCTGCACCGGGCATCCTGGGCCCAGGTTCCAGTCCGGCTCCAACGTCTGCTTGCTGAGTGACTCTCGCTCTCTGGCCTCTGCTCTCTCTGTGTGTGACAGGAGGGCTTGGTGGTGTTCTGTCTGTGGATGGCGGTGGCAGAACACCCAGGACACAGGCGTCGGGGGCCAGCCCAGGCCCCAGCCCCTGTGCCATTGCTCGTGCTGTGTGGCATCTGGCAGGGGCTTGCCCTCTCTGGTCCTCGGCTTCCTTCGGGATGGCTCAGGGGGGTTAGAGCAGAGGATGCCGGCACCCCGGCTGGTGCTGGTCCCTGGCGCTCGCTGGGACTGGTGAGGGAGGCGTGGACCCATGGCCCATGGGCGGTCAGACCTGAACTGCCTGCTCTGTTTGGCCCTGCGGTGCTTACAGTGACTTGGAACAAGTTGCCAACATTTGAAAATGGACACACGTCACAGAAACACTTGGATTTACAGTTTTTCTCAAAAACCTGGCAGATCTGTCTGCCCTGTGCCCAGTTCCTCTGGGAACAGC